TTCAGTACTGGTCAGCTGACCCTTCCCTGGGTCACTAACATCACTATTCTGATCTGTGAAAACTTTCACAGTTCAGTACTGGTCAGCTGACCCTTCCCTGAGTCAGTAACATCACTATTCTGATCTGTGAAAACTTTCACAGTTCAGTACGGGTCAGCTGACCCTTCCCTGAGACACAAACTTCACTATTCTGATCTGTGAAAACTTTCACAGTTCAGTACGGGTCAGCTGACCCTTCCCTGAGACACAAACTTCACTATTCTGATCTGTGAAAACTTTCACAGTTCAGTACGGGTCAGCTGACCCTTCCCTGAGTCATGCACATCACTATTTTGATCTATGAAAACTTTCACGGTTCAGTACGGGGTCAGCGGACCCTTCCCTTGGTTACTAACATCACTAATCTGATTTGTGAAAACTTTAACAGTTCACTACGGTTCAGCTGAAAAACCCATTAATGTGTTAATCATACAGTTATTAAACTAAATATATTTTATTTATATAAGATTGAATATAAAATTAAAATCAATAACGGAGTGTCTATTGCACACTAAGTGCAAATAGCCCGCCTTGTTGGCAGAGACTATTTACACTAACTCGCCTTTTGGCGAACTTTTTTCTCCCTTTTCAAATTTCAGATCACATCAGAAAAGCATTTATTTTCAATGAAAATGAAGGAAATAATCAAAAAGTTGAAAATAAAGTATCGGGTATGGTTAGGGTAGGTGTAGGGAGGGCTTTTGTCCCAGTAGTGGCATCCATTTAATAATTTTAATAAAAATTTTAATTTACACTCAATAAGCTGTTTTATGTTTTATAATGTATTACAATGCTGAGGTGCAGATAATTGCCACTATTTGCAATAAGTAAAATACCCTGCTGGATGTATTTCTGAGGAGAACTGACTGTCTTCAGAAAAGTTTCGATGGCATTTTCTTTTTCCTCTTACCTTAGTTAAATACATATTAAAGGAGTGTTAATAAGCGCACCGCTGCGTACAGCAATAACCAAGGAAACGCTGCTGTTCTATAAGCGACACCTGGTTTCAGAGATTGAATTTGCATTTTCATCAGAATCAGAAAGAGCTTTATTGCCAAGTGTGTAAATTTACACACACAAGGAATTCGTCTTGGTGTCAGGAGCTTCCAGTACACCCTACAGTCATAGTGCAGACATAGGCTACATATAATTAAGGTAATAAAACACCAATAATAATAAAGAGTAATAATAAAACATTCAGCCCGTCTGATGTTTTTGTTTTGTGCAGTTGCTTCATGTTACATATATTTTTGTTTGTTCAATGTTAGTTTGGCCAATAACAGAGCAAAATAAACATTTAATAAATGTAAAAATAAATAAATAAAAATGAAATAAATTGGCAACGAGTATGGGAATCGGCTCATTTCATAGTAAAAAAAATAAATAAAAAAATCAGCAATTGGAATCGGTCACGAAAAATCCTGATCAGTGCATCCTTAGCTGGAATAGAGTTAGACCTACCTGAAAGACCTGAAAAAGCATGGTTCATTTCAGTTTTATATTTGAACTATTGTACCTATTTGTGCAAAATTGGTTATCATTTATTATAATACAAATTTTCAGTCAACAATGAAAACAATAAGT